ACTCGAAGGGACGTATCTCTTTGTTCTGATGTTATATTTAAAACGTTTTTCTTTTTCTGATTTCTGCTGAATATCGAATTCCTGAATGTGCTCTTTCTCCTGAACTGAAAGTTTAAAAAATAAAACATAATGAAGTACCTATTATATTTCAATAAGCAACATAGTTTCAGTGTTAAAATAGTGTTGTAGCATTAAAATTAGTAAAGTATACATATGTTTTTTATCTAAAAGCAAAGCATCATTTGTTGTCTGCACTAAAAAATAAAACATTTTACATTTACAATCATAAACTGAATGATTCAGTTTTAGTTTCTTTAGCAGACCTTCAGATGAGTGTGCAAAATTGTTTTACTTTACTTGTTTTTGTTTATATTATTTGTGTAGTTTTTTCCAGTGGTTATCATAGAAACGTGAAAGAAATTGTATGCTTTTAGAGAGGAAAAGAAATCATTAGAATAAAAAAAAAAATTCCTGCAGCAAAAGTCTATGGATTATATCAATGAATAAAAAGGCAAAATCACAGGATTTTTGTGATTTTTTTAAAATCAAAATACCATTATTTTGGTGTATGTCCAGTTGATCTGTACAACGTTATCAAGAATATTAGCTACATCTTTTTTCACAAGTTGCTAACATATAGAGGAAAAGGTGGTATTATGGAACCACCCCATTTCGAACTGATAATAAAGGCGAACTGTAGCGAATTGTGGCTAAACTGAACTAGGCAGACATCCATAGCAAGGGGAAAACCCCTTGCTAGGGATGTCTGCCTAGTTTAACTGAAGTAAAACGGTTGTCCCTATTTAATCAGCAAATTTGTTTTTTTTTTTCAAAATTCGCAAGTTTTGAATGCTAAGTGAATTTAATCATTTTTAAAATATAAATCGTGTAGTCGTAGGTTCACTGGTGCATGTATTTCGTTCCAGAGACTTACGGGTATATATATTCATCTGTATGATGTTCACGTTTTTTAAATTTCAGTCTTGACAGACATAAGTTAATTCAAGATGGCGATGCGTGAAATACGGACCCCATTGGTGCTTTTACAGTAATGTGGAACCCAAGTCCTCCGAACTCTCTCTTTGCAAGTTCGGAGGAATTTGTAAAAAAAATCACTACGTAGAAAGCCAATTCTTCCTGAGAATATAAAAAAAAAGCTGCTGGAATATACACTCACTGCCAAAAGTTAAGCACAAAGCAGAAAATGTTCATGTCTGGAAAGCAATTGGCATTTGAAAGGCTGCAATTCACTGGAGAGGTAGGTGGAAGTATGCAAATATGTTACGTTAC